ACACACATTTCAATAGGGAAAGATGCAGCAAAAGGCTGATATCTACTTTGGTACAAGTAAACAAACATACAGTGACACATGAGATGCAATATTCAAATGAATCCTCGAATAGCCATTTCCTACCAAAGCCAAGGATAGGTTAAGCTGCTGCTCTACAATGTAGCCAAGCTTAGTGCATAGACAGAGCCAGTGCAGCCTACACACATAAAGTTACATGACATATGAAGAGAGCAAATAATCCTCAACTCTGAAAGTAAACGTCCGCCCAGATCGAAGGGCCGTGGCCCTCTATTTGTAAGCACTAATCACCGAGGAGCAGCACTTGGACAGATGTGTTCAAACATTAAGAACAGCGGGAATACCTGTATTTGAGCCCGGGCACGGTTCAAGGTTTGGAGCGGTAGTGACATGAAGCCAAAAAACAGTTTCCGACTCAGGCCCCAAAAGTGCCCCGTTGGGATTCTGCCATGCTCAGGCGGTGCGAAGTGTGTGGACGCCTCAGGTCTGCATGGCTTCAAGTGCAGGTTGGGGATGCATCTAAAGTGCTTGATCTTTGCTTGTGGCTCCCTCTTTCCGGCCCTGTCAAGGCAATACTCGGAATCCGAGCAACTATTGCAACCTCACCCGTGAATGTGTTTTTCTTAGGAACTCTTAAATGCTTGGGGACAGAGAAGCAATCACTCAGACCAAATGTCACCTGGATCCCATAGATTTTCGCGGTGAACTGGCATCCGACCCATGGCTCCTTGGTTTTTGTTTCTTCGATAGCCACAGAGTGGTGCTTGGGATGTGCGTAGACACAACAAGAGGCAGAGACTTGCCCATTGAAGCTGATCTTCTGGGCAGCTTGCCAGGCCTTGCAGGACTCAGAATTGCGAACTATGCCACACTTGCCCAAAGCCGTTCCCGGATTGTGTCCATATTTAGTCAAGGTTCCAAATGATTAGCCTTTCACTTCCAGGTCTTTTCGGCCAGTGAGATGCCTCGGCTGTTTCTCGGATCGTGAGTATTTTTTTTGCTGTAGGTGCACTTATAGCTAGATATGGCTGGGGTTGCTACTTGTTGCGTGTGTTTTGTGCTTCATCCGGGCAACATTAAGTTGCTATCTTTTGCCATGCATAAAAGGTGCTACTACTTGGAGGGCCAGACGGGTGAGCAGGGAGTGAAGGCGGGACGAGCAGGGCGATCGGGACAGTTGGTGGCGCTCTGGGTATGGATTCCCAATTCATTGGCACTCTGCTTTGCTGGGGTTGGTTGTCCGGAAATTGCCAAAAAGGGTTCCTTTTTTTGCGCCAGGGTCACTGGTTGCACCGTTTGAGGGTAAGTAGGTTCTTGCTGTTTGGCATTGGACAACTCCAGTGTGCCTGCGGTGAGCTATGATGTAGGTCCTTTAAGCAGGGAAATCCTTTTTTAAGGGTGTTGGGACTATGATAGAATGGAGCCCGTTGACAGAATTACTACGTTACTCTTACACCTGCGAAGGGGAGAGGGGGTTTCAGGGGCACGAGGGGTTGATGGGGGCTGTCATTAGGCCCTTGAGTGTGGATGTTGAAAACCATTGAATGATCGTTCCCTTCTCAGGACTGCTGGAGGACCTTGACACATTCAGCTGGCAGTTTCCGTTGCGACAAACCATCAACTGCATCAAGCTACATGTCTCAAGGTGGCAAGGTGGTTGTGATTGGGACGAAATCACTTGATACATGCAATGATCTGAGCCAGGACCTTTGCCGTTTTTTGGCGACATTGCAGGATCTTAGGCCCGACGCAAGGAAGTCAGCCATGGCGGTCCTATTTGCTTCACAGCCCTCATCCCGAAGGCCATTTGCTTGTCCAGTTACAAACTCGCCGGACAAGAACGACCAACACGGGTGTGCACAGTCGGACCCCGAACAAGCATGCAACTAATTGTCCGGGTTACACTCAAGCGATCATGCCAGGGTTGTAAAGAAAGAGCAAATCTAATCGGCCTCTTCCTTGTGATTGCTTTGGAAATACCAGCAACTCCCAAACACCAAAACTTGCCATGCTCCTTGACATTAAACATTTGTTTGGATGGCTGTATACAAGAAGCCCGGACTTTGACCAATCAGGGTGAGATAATCAAGATTGCCCTCATCAAACTGTGGGAACTCCCCGATCTGCCAAAAAGACAGGGTCCGATATAAGCATACCAGCTGGGGCTAGCTAAAACATCACCTTTACCCGCTGATGGGACAAATCCTCCAGCGGGTGACTTTGGGATGCATGTGTCAACGGTCCTGAAACAGGACGTGCATTTCGCGGACAACGGAATCACCGAGCTGGGCTGTGAGTTCCTGGGGCGGACCCTGGGGCGCCTTTGGCACAAATATCCAGGTTCAAAGTGCGTTAGTTCGTTCGCTTTATCCACTGTATGTGTCTCCAAAGACAAGCTACTTATCTGGGGCGTCACTTTGATTTCCGCTTTGCCGCAAGGATACCCCAAAATGCTCCGTCTTTCAAACAACCGGAGGAGTGAGACTTGAGTTGTTTTGCGTTTCGACTGGGCTGGATGCTGCCTGATCATGAAGGGGCAAAAGTACCATGGAACGGTACCTGCATCCTTGGGCAGGCATGTGGGTGTGTCTCCAAATAGGGGTATAGACAACAAACTGGTTGGTTTCCTTTTGGTTTCCCTTTAAATCTAGACCAAAAGGAGTTCCCAAAAAGACCAGGCGCACCCATTCGGCGGTGCTCGTTGTGTGTGTGTGTGTGGTGTGTGTGTGTGGTGTGTGTGTGTGTGTGTTTCTGTTTCTGTTTCTGTTTCTGTTTCTGTTTGTGTTTGTGTTTGTGTTTGTGTGGTGTGTTGTGTGTGTGTCTGGTCCTGTTGGGTTTCTAGACCAGGTCTAGGGCCATGAATCTCTTCGGTTTCCCAATGTTTCTCACAAGAGAGGGCCAGCGAGCAATGGGAACTTCCCGGCTCCAAGACTCCTAGGCCGCATGGCAACAGACTGGTCAACCTGCTGCGACTGGACTACAATCAGGCGGGGCACCATCGCAGCAACCGCTTGCCACAGATCAGTTCATACTTGAACTTGCATGTGTATTGCACATGTCGTGTCGAATGGCATGTGCGTTTCAAGCGTGTTGCCTGTTTACGTGCTTGCTAGGGTCGATTCCGTTGTGCCTTCCATTGCCATAGGAGGTCAGAAAGAGTCGGCTTTTAGTAGCACTTGCCATCAGTCGTGAGGAAATAGTGGCACTGAGCTGTTCAGCCTTTGTCGTACGTCGGGGGGTGTGGCCAGCTCTGAAGCCCGCCTCAAGCAGGTTGCAAAGAGGGTTGACCAACAAGGCTTGCATCAAGGGGAGAGCGATTACTCATGAACGCTGAAAGGAGGCTGATACGCTATTTCTTGATTGTCACCTTGTGACCAGTGCAACGTATGCGTTGATGAAATCGCTGTGGATTCACATAAATTATTGGCAGGAACACAGCACTTCAAGACCTGGGGCCTGTAAGACGTTCTTGGTAACGCCGCCAGCGGCAACCCAACAAACCAGCTGAAATCAACATGGCACCCGCCAAAGGCTTGAGTAAGATATTTCCGATGAGACCTGTCCGGGCCCATGTTTCGAAGTCAATGGCCAATAGTCCACTCTTTCTGTATCCAGGACAGATGGTTCCACTTTGCTGGTCCATTGAGATTCCCTTGGGGTCCCGAGCTTCAGACTTCAGACGGTTGAGGTGGCTCACAATTGGGTTTCCCGGAAAATTGCAAGTTCTCTTTAATTTTCCTTCAAAGAACCATTGTTGCGTGAAAAGCAAACAAAAAAGAAAGATTGAAACACCATGTTCCTTCTCTTTTGGTTTACCCAACGTTCTTGGTTCCCCTTCCACTGAGTTCACAACGGGGGCCACATTTGTGATCCAGAGCGCTGCGCCTTTCGCCAGTTCGGCACGCCGGGTGTGGAGAAGCTTTCTCAGGGGCTCAGTCAGCCCCAAGCCTCAGACGGACACAGCGAAGTGAAGGTTGCATTGTTATATGTATTATGTATATATATATATATATGCTGCTATATGCGTATACATACACACATACAAAGGCATATATGTAAATATGTATATGTAGGTATGTATCGTTGTGTATTATCTTATTTTTGTTGTTTTATTTCTTTTTTAAGATAATATGTAGTTTGATGTTCTGCTTCAATGTGTAAGTATATTTGTATGCATTTAGCTGCAGGAACCTCTAGCAACATGTGGCTCGTTGCTTAAAACAAAGTGTTTGATAATATGTGGTACTTTGTCCATGCACCACGTGTTGAATCCTGTTGCGTTACCTGTGCGGAGATGGGCCAGTGATTGTCTTCATTTACCCCGCTGAGTTTTGCTTTAAAACAACACATTCCTAAAACGCAGCTTCATTCAAGAGCTTGGCAGATGCCTTAAGAGACCAGTTAGGCGCGAGCACGTGTGAAAGCTTGGTCTGTTGTCCAATGGCATATGTTTGCTTGGATGCCAGATTTGACGGTGTGACTTCCTGCTGCTCCCACGAGGCATATGGCGATCTCGCCAAGAGGCTCTTGGCAGGTAAGTTTTTGCCAGCTCCGTTCAGCCACTACCCATGGCACAATAGACCCTTCGCTCTCACAACATGTTCATGTTACCAAGACGTCCTTCTTTCGTGTTGTCTGGTTGATTTTGCCAACTCCTTAGTCCAAGTGTCGACATTGGACGGATGTTGGGCACTGAGGTGTTCATCCCCAGAATCCCGTCCGTGTTGCCTTGTTGGAAGCGTGAGGAGACTAGAACTTCGTTGAATCGTTTTCCTGGGCTCCCAAGCCACTCTGCCCAATGGCCAAGCCAGCTGAAACCATCCAATACTTTGCAGCAGCATTCAAATTCATCCGAAGCTTACCCAGGAACTGCACGCTGAGACAGCTCTCCCTGAACTACTGTGGCATCGGCGAGGCCCATGCTTTGCGTGGGAGCATGTGTGAAACCCCACGCGGAGCTTTCCATTTGCATCGGTCCCTGCAAACATGATTCTGGGGAAATGCATCAAAAGCCATTGCTGAAATGTCCGTCAATTCGCGCAACTGACACAATCATTTGGCACTGAGTGTGCCTTGAACCAATGCGCTGCATCACTCTAAAGACAGAAATCCCCCAGCAAGTCGCGTCGGAGTGCATGTGCAGTCACCCCAAGCATTGAGAACTGCCTCAAGCACGAGAGAGGCTGTAGGAAGCAGTGCAGCAAACGCCATTCACAGTTTCAATGCTCACTGTGCATGATTTGATGTCTTGTGTTGTGTTTCGTTGTTCCAGATCAAGCCACGCAACAGTGGATAGGCGAACGGGTACACAGGAAATAACCAAGTACCGAATTCCTTTCTCTAACTCCTTGCAAATGTGACTTCAAAAAAGTAAAACAAGAGCACATATCCGCTTTGTGCTTTGGTGTGTAGGCGTCTTCTTCGGCACGTAGCACAAACAAATTCACAATGGAGCAAACGACCCAGGGTGGACTCGAACCACCATCATCGCTGCGGTACCTCACCCAATGAAGGGCAAGGTGCCAGCTGCTGCTGGATGCAGAAGCAACGCCTTGCCCATTAGGCTACTGGGTCAGATGCATCTTTTTTGTTTTACTTTTAATAAAGTCATATTTGGAAGGTGCTGTGACGAAAAGATGGGATGTAGGTAGGACATTGAATGAAGATAGAGTTCCACGGGAGGATCCCTCCGCAAAGTGTTTCTCATAAATCACCAAGCCCTCCCACTAATCAGTCGTTTGCTCCACTTAGAAATTCAAGAAAGCATGCTGTTCACTTAACTGGTGCGCTTTGGCAACAAGCTTAAGCGATGTTAGATAACATTTCTCGTTCCAAACATCCTTTGACGGATTGAATGATAGCTGAGAATGTCCAGAATTGGCATGTCACAGTACCGCTCGGCAAACATTTGGTACACAGTGAGCCAGGACATTTGGTACACAGTGAGCCAGGACTAGAGGTACTTGTGCATGGCATTGCAGTTGCCCCAAAGGATCTGCAGTGTTCAGTGGTACTTGTGCTTTCTGGTTGGTGGCCCACTCAAAACTACCACGTTTAAAGAGCGCACGTGCTCCCATTGCGCAAGTGAATTGCCATGGGACAACCGAGGGTTGGTCTGATGGCGTAGAATAAACATGCGCAAAACTATGTCTGTGCACACGCGTCATGAAGCAACTTTAAGCCAACATAGCGCGGATTCCGCCAGCCATAGTGCAGCTGTGCAACCCAATCCGTCGTGGTTTTCAAGCTGAGGAGGAACTAGACAATGGCCGTTCACTTACAGTATGTGTCACCAGGATTGCCTGCTGAACTCGAGAGCCAACTCGGAAGTATCTCAGACACTGGTGTGAGCCACTCAAAACATTTGGGTACTTCTCATGGATGCGCTTTGGGGTGAGGTTCAACACCTTGCCAATCATGATTGTGGCACTCTCTCGTGCCTCTTGCAGTAGGTGCCCTTTCAACTTCAGAGCCTTGGCAAAGCATGTCACGGGTGAAACTGTAGTGCTTAGGCCCCGGATTCCCGGAAGTAACCGAGTGTGTGTTTTCTGGTGTTTGGTCCCATTTTGCAGTGTCTCATCCCTATTCAAAGCTCTGCGACCCCGAACCTCAAGCTACCCGGACACCCCTCTTTGACGTATTGGACGGTGGGTAGAAGACCCGATTCGCTTTGTGCACAACCCTTGGTACGAAGTTCTTTCTGGCGCGCAACTCAGTCAGTTTGCATTTTGTCAGGAGGGTGGCCAGTACATTGCGCACATCCTCATGTTTTACAAGCGGGGGGCCTCAGATATGTTGCTGTTGGTGTTGTGGTTGTGGTGGATCTGTCGGAAGGTCGGGCAGCTTGTTCGGATCATGCTTAGGTTGATCTTTTAGCTCTTGGAATCACAGTGACTAAGCTGGTGGAATGTTTCGCCGGCTAGGTTACTTGATCTGGAGGAGTTGGTATTCTGCTAAACCAGCCAGGGTGCAATTTCATAGAATGTTGGACACGGTACACCCTTTGTAACATAGTTTCCTTGTCCAACACAACATCCTGGAACCCAGTAGACTTGGTAATCCAGCTGTTTCCCTTGACTGGAGTTAGACAATCAGGAGTTGGCCAAGTTGGAATTCAATAAGGTGCCGGTTGGTTCCATCACCGGGGGAGGGAACGAGCTTACAACAAGATATCCCTTGCTTCTGGCTTTGGACCTATTATACAAGCTGCACATACGTTTCACATTTGTTCGACAAACGTCAGGAAGAAAGTTGAGAGGACAGGTCATGTCTCCAATGCGTTCATTTCCTTTGCCAGATGCGCATGCCGGGCGAACGGGTAGAATTGTTGAGCCTTTTGGTGGGAAACAACCCACTCCGCAATCTGGAATTCTTTGGAAAGGGGAGCAATTTGGGGATGCCTGCAATGGCAGAGACAACTTGGGAAGCTTGCTTGGGCTGGCCAACTGAACCAATGCGTGGCAGCGAGGGGGTACTGGATTGGTTTTAGATTTGGGACTTTGGCCACCCAAGCGGGTAAAGAGGCAGGTGGGTGTGGTCTATCAGGGGGTACATTTATATAGGGATGCGTCCCCAATTGTTCAATCCCGGATTCCTGTAGTTGCAGGTAGATGTTGACGGAAAGCCAACCATTTGGTGGGTAGCGCAGGTTTGCTTTTTTGCACGAGGCAGCTATCTTGTTCGGCTGCAGCTTACTTGTCGGCTTCCTTTCGTCCTGGTCCCTTTGTTCACATTGACATATTTTCATCATAGCAGCTGCATTGCCCTCAATGAGCATGTTTCTGGGATCCAAGAACCCAAACATAAAGACCAACATAACATTTGCACATGTTTCCCCTCGTCGCCGTTCCGGTTTGTCAGAGCTCGACGTTCCGCTTTGACTGAGCTCACAGACAAACCGAACGCGTCAAGTTCCCACGCTTTTTTCCCGCAGGAGTGCCCTGGAAAAGCTGGAGCTGCAGGGCAACTACTTGAAAGAGCGAGGCCAGGATCTGTTGCTGGACAAGTTTTAGTGGTTCCATTTTGAGGATGTACCATCACCCTCCTGTCGTTAGCCTTGCCCCGAGCCAGGGAATATGGTAATTTCATGGAGAGAGCAACGTAGTCTTGTTGCTTTTTGTTCTAGTCTGCAATCAGTGGTGCGGGAAGCCACAGGCACTGGTTTTGAACCGTCTGCAGATTTTCCTCCGCCCTTGTCCTCCAACCGGAAAATCGGTGCCATGCGCAAGCGCAATGAAATCAACATCTCACTGTAGTGAGCTGGATACTGCTATACGAATTTGCTGGGGGATCCCCTTCTTGAACTGTGTTTGAGGTTGTGTTCTGATGTATCCAGAGACTTGTTGAGAAAATGCGTGGTTTATTGTTCAAGCCAAGGAGGCACGTTTGGTAAATTCAAAGCTGGCCGGCTTCAAGATGTGGACTTGCTCAGGCTTGGATTTGTGTGTGTGTGTACGTGTGTCACATATCAGATCCAACCATGTGAGACACACTTTCCGGCATGCGATATCATGCGATCGGTTCCACAGCGCTAAATGCGGCAACGAAGCGCCGCACTCGGGCGCTACGCCGACGAGACAACACCCCTTCATGAAACCCTGAACAAATCCCAAGTCTTCTGCAAACTGACGCTAGGTGGGTGCTGGTTGTGTTACTGCGGGGTGTACAGTTCAATCCCGTGATGCGCAACACACAAAGTCATCTGATCAACTAGGCAGCATGCAGATTCAGCTGCTGCAATGTTGGCTAAGTTGGCCTCAGACCATCAACCAGGTCCATTCGTCAGATATCAACTGCAAAGTTCAGATGTTGTGCCCCCGATAGCCACTTTCAGAATGTTTTGTTTTGCGGGACAAGCGTGGGATAAGCAATTTCCTCTCGATTTGATAAGCTTTGTACTTTGCAAGCCGTGAGCCTGCTTTTCCGCATAGATGTTTGTTTTTTCCTAAACACAACACGGTTTACTCATCTCGGTTGTTGGTCCGAACGACGTAATTCCATTTCCTGTGATCGTGCCATTGCTCGTGAAAGACCACCCTCAAAACAGCTGAGTTCAAGGGTGGATGACAAGTTCAAGTTGCAGTTACCAACATCACTCACTCGGAAGTTCTTTACTCCCCTGCCGATAAACATGGAGCCTAAGGAGGGGTGCTGCATGTTAATTTGCCAAGGGGTAGTGTGGTTCCAAAGAAACCTCCAACAGTTGATGTTCAACGGGAGCCTTGGTTCGAAAGCCAAGGTGTTGCCATTTGGGTGTGTGTCAAAATGCTGGAGCAACACAAATAATGGCGGCTTTCCTTTTGCTTTCCCTTCAAGCGAAGGTGGACTGACACCCATGTCATCCCCCTGCCCTGTGAGAACTGAGGCGTGGTGGACGTCTTCAACGCGTGTAAGCGCAAGACGGCGCTCACGTTGGGGCCTAGAAATGAGTCTCCCATTGGGCAAAGGTCCGCAATGTCGCCCCTGATTATTACACGTGGCAGATGACAAGGGGGCTTCCCTGCAAAAGTGCAGGCTCCATTTTCAAATGAAATGGGACACCCCTATTCAAGAACCAGAGTTTTAGTAGTCGTGGGCTCCCATTACTGGGGTTCATTTGATCGGACGGCTTGAGAAACTTCCACTTCTGTGATATAGGGTTGGGAAACAAACACCCGAGCGTAAAATGGATTCTCTTGCTGTCAAAGCTTGCATATCTTGCAAATGCAGCGATCGATTCCACCGATTCGAGGGCAACACGAGCTTCATGATGAAGGTTCCTTACTTCAAGTTTCCTGAGTTCTAATCTATTCAATGATAGTCATTGATTTGGAGCCAACACTAGCTTCTAGCGTGATGTTTTCCCAGAGACTCGCTTGGCAGTCTAGTCATTCAGGATGTTTTTGAGACTTGATGGATCACTCAGCACAAGACACATTGTCGAATGTACATTCCATTACTTGGTCGGGCTTCAAACATGTTCAGTTATTTCGAGCAGTCTTGTTGGTGGCAGAACTTGTTGGGGCCTGTCATACCCTGCCTTCAATCCGTCCTATCTTTCGACCCAGTGAAATCAACGTCTTCGACAACAAGTTCACCGACACGCCGGAGGTGGTCAAGGCAAGCAGTGTGCCTGTGTGTGTGTGTCTGTTTTTTGTTTTTTCTCTGGATTGTTCAATATCAATGTTTCATCCTCATGCCAGATGTGGCAGTGGTTGCCATTGTTGTGGTGGTCCGACTACGGATTACGGATTCGGAGTAGGAATACCCCACCCGGTTTCTGCAACTCATAATTTAGACTTGTATGTTGTGACATGTGTCTTGACTGACATGGCGTCCCGATCTGGCAAGAAAGAGACGTAGGGTTCCACCTCATATTGACCATGGCACACGAGCCTTGGAAAGCTCCCCAGGTTAGGCTGCCAAGCTCTTGAGGTTCTGCCCGAGCTGTGGCTCAGGCGAAAGGAACTTAGCTGCCCATTTCAGTGCAAGACAAGTGGTTTGGTATCTGTTCGGTGTTGCCTTTGCAAGAGCAAGCTACCCTCTCGGTGCCAGAGTTTTGAGAGCAGCCTTGTGGCTTTGTGGCTATCGGACAGTGCTAGAAAGGGCGCGCATGGCGCGCATGTTGTGCCAGAGTTCGCCATCACGGAGACACGGATGGATTTCAGGACATGGCCAACAGCTTGGCATTTTTGCTTTTCATTGCGGCCAGAAACGAGGCATGGGTGTGGCCAACGCCCAGCGCTTCCATCACACTTTGAACAGCGCAACATACTTGGGGTCCAACAAAAATAGAACCCAGACCCTCCTCAAGTGATATAGGAAGATGTCAAAACATATTGAAAACATGAGCTCTCCCGTGAGTTAGTTGTAAGAGGAAGCCAACAGGCGACCAACTGGTTAAGTGGCCCACAGCAAAAGGACGAAGCATCGTCTCCGGGCGTCGGTTAACAGATTCTTGTTGAGGTCAATAATCTTTCTTCAGATTCTATAGCAGGAGGGAGGGTAGACTTGCCCACGAACCTCTCAAAACTTCAGCATGCAACAAGCAAGATGCCCGTGTGCCACAAAGCCCGATGGTCTGACTTTTTCATGATCCCTTGCAGTGCATCAAAAACAAAGCAACGACATGTGCTGTGTTGGGGATTGAAGCATCGCCTTGCTGGCCATTGCAAGATTAAACATAGCCTAATTGGGACATTTGACAACCACTGAGAGCTTTGCCTTGGCTCCTTGCGGAAACCACCAAGAGTGGCAGATGCATGGGTTTGTAGCGCATCATAGCGCGGACGGATCAAAGCTCCAGGTTGTACCAGTTGGTGGTATTTGGCTTCCTTTGTTTTTTTTTTGCAGAGCTATGATTTATGCAGGGCCAAGGTTACAATCTCTGAGGTCTTATTCGGGCGTTCTTGTTCTCAGAGACTTGGAATTTCCGGGGGCTCCCAGCGCAGGGATCAGGAGCTCCCTGAGCTTGTTGAAGCACCCCAAACACCTGGCAAGGGCCATCCCCAAATCACCTAAAGCCATCCACAATACGCCTAAAACAATCCCAATACACCTCTGGGGGGGGGGGTTCAAGGGTTCAAGCAGACAGCTGAGAAGCATCCCCAGCTCCACTGTTCTAGAGGAAGACTTGACCATGAATGTGCCACAGGCGCTGCGGGAGCTGTTCGCTAACAACCTTACCCTGGCAGTCTATGACCTTGGAGGCCCGGCTTTATCAGCAACGAAGACTGCGACGTCACAGGCCGTGTGGAGAGCTGACGAGTAACTTTCCCCTGAGTTCGTACCCAAACAACCCCTCCCAACAAGGCCTGCCTGACCTCCTTCCTGCAATGGCTTGACTGCACGCGTCAAAAAACATGACATGACGGCATGACCAATTCCTTCCTCCGGTTTCAACAGCGGCCACAAACCATGAGCGAAACCAGCGACAGGTTTCTGTTCATAGGAAGACAAGGTCAGAGTAGTGTTTTCGCCCGCCTTCCATTTGGGCAAGTGAGCGCCGAAGCAGAACCAAAATCACTCGAGCGAGAGATGGTTTTGAATGGTTTTTAGGCTTGCAACAAGTCGCCAAACCAACCAGCGTTTCTTAAAGATCAACTGGAGGTGGTTTGTAATTGGGCATGCAGCTTGATCAGTCTAGATCCCCACAATAGCGGAGAAAGGAACAATCCACAAAGAGCGGACATCAAGTTAGCCAAAACAGGAATCTTGGTTGCTTCTGAACATCGAAAGTACTGATCGCAGGCCTGTAGATTTGCCCGGCGTTCGGATGGCTAGTGAATTTGAACATGATTTGTACTGCCCCCACTGTAGTAGTTTAAACGAATGGCTTGGAGGGACATTTGCAGAAGTTGCGTTTTCGTGCTTGGACCGCTAGTTGGCCATGTTCCTGAAGCTGGTTTCTTGGCTTGTTACCTTGCTTGCCAGCTACTTTTGTTGCTTCTCATTTTACTTGCATGTCCTGTCTAGTGGAAGGTCACAAGCGTCGGCTCCGTGTTGCTTCAGTCTTTTTTCGGGGTGCCTTGAGCTGCTTCATGGTGTGCGTGCCATTTGCAGTTTGCTGCGCAACCATCACGTCCTGAGGCAAATGGGAGGGACGGGAAATGATTCAGCACTATCGGCAAGCGTGCTACTTGGGACAAAAGTCACATTTCTCGCTTTGGGGCCAGTCCTGGCCCTTCTTGCCATTGAAGTGGGTTCATGTTGGATGCCCTCAATATTCCAAGTGAACCAACCACAAACCGCAGAGCTTGTTTGAATTTACAGGGTGTTGGTTTTCCCCTTGCAAGATTAGGCTTCCGCCTTTTCGAAAGGTCATTTGGGCGTGCGGACGGGAGGCAACCAGATCAGCGACGAGGGTGCCATGAAGCTGTGGCACGGGCTTCTGGGCCAAAGCCACGTGGAAAAGGCGCCAGGGGAACTCGGGAGCCCGAAGGCCCGAAGGCCCGAAGGCCCGAAGGCCCGAAGGCCCGAAGGCCCGAAGGCCCGAAGGCCCGAAGGCAGAGTGGGGCGAAGCATGGGGCTCTCGATAGGGAACCCGCAAAATGATCGGTTTCCTTCTGGCGTCCCTTGAAACCAACTTGGAAAATGAAAAAGGTATATTGAAAAACAAGACACTATGTTCAAGCAATCGGCCCTGGTACCCGTAGGTTGTCGGAGGTACATATGGTACCCGTATGGTACCCCCGATATATAGAATAGTCATGGGAATGACCCTTGTTGCTACACAGAAAGAGTGGATTTTCCACCATGTAACAGGCCCTTTCCCAAGTCACACTCACCGCACCTTGCACGTCAGGTTCGCATCACCGAGCGCTGCAGCACGAAGACCCATGAGGCCCCGAGCCGGGCGGAGTGAACCCGAGCCAAGTGGCAGGCGCATTTCCCCGTGAGAACTCCAGTGCCCTTTGCCTACTTTGGATGATTGTAGGGGTTTGTTGCCACCAGAGATCTGTCCTCAATCTGTGAAAGCATGACAAAGGAGATGCCCCTTATGTGCCGCGATTGATGCTGAACTGCAACTTAATGATCAGGCTGCCCATGTTGCAACCTTGCGAATGCCCATGTTGCAACCTTGCGAATGTTGGGATCTCCAAAACCGAAAGCCCCTTCGGTTTGAAGAGGTGAGCCACAACTTGTTTGTCGAGCAAGATCTACCCGCTGCTGCGAATTTATACAAGGCCAATGCTTTGGCTATGATGGGTCCTGCAGCAGTTGCTTGTTCATTGCTCATTTGATGGTGTCAATGGTGGACGTCACCGATCATTCTGCTCGTAATGCTTCTAGTAGTGTTGAGATTGATGCTCTTCGAGTGTGAATGATGATTTAGTTGTTGCCGCGCCATGGTTGCGATGTGTGCAGTTGTTCAGATATCAGAGTGAAGCATCTACATGATCCATGAATGATCGCAAAAAATAGCAGGCTCGTTGACACACGTGAAATCGAGCAAAAAGCGAGAAATCAGTCAATTTCGAGGAGGTGTGTTTTGCGTTGCACACGGTATGATCACATGAAACTCCAATTTGTGTGATGAATGACTGGTGTTGGCTTGGCAAAGCAACGTTGAACTGCTTTCAGCTGGGAAAATGGGTGTGTCCTACAAAACATGGGACCCGTCTTGAATGGTTTGAAGGGGAGCCAAAAGGAAACCACGCATTTGTAGGGTTGCCCACTGTTAGAAAAACGCAGATGAGTGGAGTTTAATGCCTTGTGTTCTCGCTTGGTGCCCTAAAGTGGGTGCTAAATAGCCTAGAATGTTAAATTTCTTGAAGGAAGCCAATGGGGGGTGAATAGTTCATGTGTTCCAGACCCTGATTGATCGCCAGTAAATGTACAGGAACCGGTGGCCTTTGAGCCTTTGAGGCGTGTCGGTCTGGTGTAGCGCGCTCCGCCAGCAAATCAAAGACCAGCTGGGCAGCGGCAAAACGCCTGGGAGCCAAGTCGCGACTTTCAAAGATGTCCGGTGACCCTCGAAACAACCAGTTAACCAGTTGCATTCTGAAGGCTTCTCAAAGCCGGGGTTTGCCGTTTAAACCACTTGTCAGTCTGCAAAGTAAAGGAACCCCTAAACGTGTAGAACCCTTCCTTGCTCAGAAGGACTTACAGGGGTTGGTTCCCTGTATCCATTGGAGGGTCTTTTTGACTCTAATGCAGCCAGTTACCTCTAGTCTACATCTGGATTGAAGCTGGGCGACATTCAAGAGAATCTCAGTGAAGGTGATAGGTGCGTTCGTGCAGATGTCTTCCTGTTGTGCGCGGTGATGTGCTGCACTCCTATCATAGCGCACCACACGCGGGAGGGGAAAGAATGTCTTTGAAACATATCAGCAATGGAACACTTATTTGGTTGTCTCAAAATGGAGGGGGACCTATACAACTAAAGCCACCCCCCTCCAAAAACAGAACACCTACCAAGATCGCATTGTTCAGCCTTTGGTGATCCAAGACTTCCCAGACATCCTTTGTCCACCATCTTGAATCGTGAATCTTGAATCTTGTCCACTTGTAGTAGGTTTAAAGTATGTGTTGGCAGCTCTAGCTCAAAAGACACTACTTTTCAGCATAAGCGTAGTACGCAAGACAAGTACATGTTGGCGGCTTTAATGTGCCTGTAACAGCTCTGCTATCGTGATTTTACTCTTATTGTGTTGTAGGGAAAATCAGAAAACGTAATTGCTTTGGGAAAGGAAACTGTTTCAAGTTCCAACTAAATTCAACTTTAAGCGAGTGCATCTTTGTTTATACATTCCGAATAAAACACACACACACACATGGAGAGAGCAACTATGGCCTTGCTAGCTGACATTGAAGGCAGCATCTTTCTTAGAAGGTTGATTGACCTTATCCAATGTCATGTGACTTTAAGCAAGGATGGGGAAGACAGCCTCAAACGGCTTGTCAACTTTTGGGACGAGTGTGAGCCAATTGTCGCAGTGCTTCCGGCGGTTTCCAAGCTTTGCCCGAGGAAGAAGAAGGGCAAGAAGAAGTGATGGCGGGACCTGGGGCGCTCCCATTGAGAGACAATATGAGAAACATTGAACTGATTGCGACGAGGCAATCTTGCACTGGAATCAAAGGAATCTCTAGGAGCACTTGCGTCCACAGACCAATTCGTGTGGTGAGATTGAAAGCACATCAGAAGTGTCTGGATCTTGAAACAACATGTTATGGTTCCGCCCGATTGTGATGTCTGCTGGTTCTTTGGCTCAGAGGCAGAAAGCAAACGTAGTTGCCTAGTCAAGTCGCTCAAAACGGCCAGCAAACGCGCACAACAAGTCATCCAAATGTTCACCACCCGGTTTTTCTAGAGCTTTGTGAGGCTTTTAGAAGGTTGCGGAAATGGGCAGGGAGGTGTCGAAACTTAGGTATTTGGATGTGCCGACCGGGGTGAGTAGCCGAAACGTGGTAAGTGTGTGAAGGGTTAGCTTTAATTGCAACTGTGAATACAAATCCAAGCTAATGTTAAGTCTTTATGTGTGCGCGTTTTGTTTTTTTCCCGGTAGATTTTGGGTGGTCAGAGGAAGCCATGGGGAAAGCACAACAATTGCAGGGGTGTCCCCTGTTGGACCTACCCAGCCTCTTGAGGAAGCCACCAGACCCGGTTCTTTGCACCAGACCTGACCCTATGGCGCATTGGCCTGGAAGTTGATACCAGGGTGCTGAATCTACCAGGGAATGGACGCGAATGATATACCTTCGAGATAAGTGCGCTGCACAGCTCTTCAGTAGCTACATGACGTTTTCCGCCGATGGCAAGCTGTGTCGAGTATTCCAGGCATATGTTTGACCGAAGAGCACTGACAAAGGTGCTGCTTAGATTTGCTTCTAGCTACCAGGCCCAAAGAGCGCTGTCAAAATGACATTGCCCTTGCCTGATGTACAGAAAGCTGCTCCCCAAGGCATGGATCGCTTGCAGCGAGATACTGGAGGTTGCTGTGGCGGTGTAGAAGGCTATCACCAACACTCACATGCTGGAGTCGACGGCAATTTGGCTGTTTTGAATGGGAATGATTAAATAGAACTGTTCGGAGCTGTCTCGAATCTGGAACAGTCAGCATGGACATTGTGCAACGACTTGTTTTCCGTCAGACTCACTTTGCAAGCTTCAGAGCTGTCTATGCAAAGATAGCTTATTATCAGATAGGGTTCTATCCATTTCAACTGGTGCAGATGTTGTCCATCCATAGTGTGAATCATATCTGGGGCAAAAGAGCGCAGGTGGAAGGGCACAATCGCTGGCCTTCGTTAACATGTCGATGATGGCTGAGTTGTGCGCTCGGCTTGTTGCTTGGGGAACATTGATGTCATCATGAGATTATGAGACCCATTGTTGTCTTGGTAATGTACCAGCATCATAGAACTACTTGGGTGCTGCAAGAGAAATCGGGACCGCCATATGTTTCACTGTAGCCGCACGTCGATTCACTGCATTGCATGACAAAAGAGTGGATGCTTGCATTGCGTGTAATGCCACGGAGCAGTCATTTGCTTCTGCAAAGCTGTGTATCTTGTGTCTTGGACGAAACTGCTCTCCTTGGATTTTGAAAGGAACAGCAGTAAGTCTCAAGACATATTTGACGCCTTGCAGAGTCAGGAAGCACTTTCTTTCCGCGGCCTTGTGTCGGTACTGTAGAATTCACCGAAAGGATGCTAGCTCAGTTAGAAGCTGTTGAGGCTGCGTCTCCAGCTAATTCAAAGGCCATCAGCTCCAACATTTTTTATTTATATTTTTTTAAATGTCAGCTCAGATTACAATCATAGGCGGCGCTGGTTGACATTGGCAGTGGCCAGCAGTCGTCAGGGCGCTGAACTACTGCGCCTTTTGCGCCGGACTAGCAGCACTGTATGCTTGACATAGATCACTTTCAAGCAACAGAACTCAAGGCGTTCTGAACTTCAAGGTCAGCAACGTGTGATCTCTCGCTTGGGTGGATCGCCGCCTCAGCATGTCCTATCGACCAAATCCAGCCTACATGCGGCGTCCAGATTTCTGACATTGCCCACACCAGCTCAACGTTTTGCGCGGTGCTTGTGTTTGTGTGTGTGTGTGGTTCATGTTTACTCACCAGTGCCCGGACCCCAGTGAGAAGTGTTGGATGGCAAGTTATGCCATGAAGCGATTGGGGTCTTTGAATAAGCTTTGCATCACGGCAGCAAGAGCCTGTTGATACTCAACACACGGGCAGGAAGTGACTCCGAGGTCAGATCATTCCAAGCGCAAGAAACAAAACAGAGCTTAGGACGACTTTGGGGCGATCTATCCGAAGGGCTATTGGCACTCTACTGGTTCTGATGATCCCTGTACACCCTGTTGGAATGGATCTATGGCTAGCCCGCAACTCGGTATGCGGCATGCGGCAATGCTGAGGACCCTATTGGGTCTACTTTACATGGAAATCAGCAAGAAACTAAGCAATCGCAACGGTGCCTACCGTTGACACATTCCCATGGTGGCACTGAGCTTTACGCGGTCGGTTACTCGCCAGTGGCTCACATGCGCGGTCTTGGAGCCATTTTCAACTGGCTTCCATTTTGCGCCTGTGCAGCGTCCCCAGACCTTTGCGTGTGGCTTGCCATGGCCTGCTTTGGGCAATCCAGTCGGTCGAGTCTTGAATTGGGATTTCGACATTGGGCGTTGAGGAGTGGAGTGCGGAAACCGCAACCATGGAGCAACGTATGTGGCCGGTTTTTGGTCTTGGATGACAAGATACTATGTTTCGAGGACCGCCGGGGACAACTTCATGTTTAGTCTTTGCCAGACTTAGCAAGGCTATTCTTGTGCGTGAATCCTTTTCCAAATTTATGATGCTGTGCCAAACGATCCTCATCATGTCAAACAGAAGACACTTGGCCGCGAGTTTGCGGACGTGTTTGCCAGGTAGTTTTGAGGCACGTTGTGCTTCTGCACGAGAAGCCCGCCTAAAGCATGCATGGCTTTTATGTCCATGCTCAGAAAGGGGATGCCATTCTTCAAGTTTGGCGCCATGGCCAAATTCACATACCGCATACTAATTTGGGGCCGCAAAACTAACCATAGCAAGTGACAAATGTACATTTTCACGAGTTTCGTGTTTGCCTTTGCATGAGTATTTGACTGCGACTTCTCGTTGTTGTGATGCTTTGCTTGGTGCAAGTTGCAATGATGGCCTTAAACGAGTTTTGACACTTGGGTGACCAAACACGTCAAGGAAACACAGGCTACTTGGACCGCAACTGTGCAATCCAAACTTCCACATGGTGGAATGGCGATTTAAAACTGAATGGATGCTCAAGAAAGCAGCTGGAGATCAGGTTTAGCAATACTTACGCAACATTTGGGACACGGACAAGCACTTCAACAGAAGAATTCACAGCTAGGTCAGACTGCCCTTGAACCGGATTTGCTTTCAAGATGCCTCTCTTTGTTTATGGCTCTTGCATGCTCTTGCTCATGGTCTGTGTCCATCTCGAGCCACATTTCGCCCAATTGGGGTAGGGCATACCGAGTAACCACTCATAAATGTACAAGACACACCTGCTGGTTTGTTTGGAACACTGAGCCTCAGACAAATGGCTACCCAACGAAGAATAATTCAATCGAGCTAAAGGCATGCTATGTCTACCCCACCGCTTGAACACCAGCAAGACAGGGAGGCGCTTGGTCAGCTTTAGCGGTTGCAAGCCTGCTTCGTACAACTGTTATCGAACCCGTCAGCAGATCACACAACATTTTTATATATAGGTGCCTGTTGAGGTTCTTGGTACTTGCTAGGTTTATGTATTGCGTATGTGTTGACGAGATCAACGCAGGTGCAATTCAAAAGGATTCCGTGCATTCACATGCCGTGTCGCCACAGTTGGGCCAAGGACATAATTGTCGATCGTTATTTACGGGGTTGTAATAAATCAATTAAACATCGTAGGGGTCAATCTTATGTTTCAGTCGTGCATGTCTAAATCTTTAAAGTAAACACGTTGCCGAGGCAAACATATTGTAGAAGTTGATTGGCGCCCATTTCAAAGGTTTCCCTTCACTCGCGCTTGTTTAGGGTCATGAGCAATCATTTGCAGCCTTCCAAACCACGAACCAACTGGTCTATGGCGTGCCTCCTTGATTCACTGCAAAAGAGCCAGGCGATTTGAGTTGTCTTCAAGGAAAAAACACAATTGGTTGCTTGTGTTCCACAGCCCCGACTTTGACATTGAACCAATTTGCAGTGAGTCTTCTTACTCGGTGATGGTTTTCAGTGGATCAACGAATAAGAAACCCTGTTTGGAACGATGTTGTTTGCGCTTTCCAGTGATTGTGCATTGGGGTAAAGGACCATTTTTCCACGGTGCCTGTTTTGGGTGGGCCCTATGGGCTTCTGGTGGACATGTTGTCAACTGCTGTGGCTTTGAGTTTCCATGTCTCGATTTCACTCACAGCTCAATTCGAGGCCAACATGCCCACATCGCCGCCTTTGCCCCAGTGACGTGGAGAAGCGGGTGCAGGGTATTCGGGGGTCCGCACAATTTATGACGAGCTCACCGCACAGGCGTGCTATCAAAGTGCGGCTAAAGTGCCCTTAGCTGTGCACCTTGGCGTTGCCATGATCCTTGGGCCCCAAAGGTCGGTATCGGCGAAAGTAAAACGATCTCACCCAGAATGATCGTTTACTTTGGGATCCCCTTATCCTCCAAGATTGGGTGTGTCAAACTGGGAATGCTTTTGGGAGCCCTGGGGCGGACTTGACTGGTCTAAAAGTTTTTCATGCAGGATATGACACCCATCCTTCCCTTTTCAAGGAGTTTTGACCTGGGCACGCATTAATATTGTATGCTTGTTGCGTAGTGAGCCAGAGATAAGACGCTCTTAGCTCGCTGGTGCGTATGGTCTTGCGAATATTGCTCTGCAGGTTTTGCGATCTTATGAGGGGATATCTGCTGAAGAAAGTAAGCAGATTGCGGCAGCTGAAATGTATCGAGACTGTCGAAAGGGGCTGATTCGAAAGGAGACTGCCACAAATATGGGCCACTTGCCATTGGCTTAACAGTTCAGCGGGCCAAAGTCCAAAGTTTAGCCATTTGTCGAAGTTCTGAGGTCAGAACCGTGCTTAGAGTTTGAAGAACCCACCTTATGATGACAGCTGTTTTTTT